GTACTTTTGGATACAACGTTGTCTCCAAGAGTCAAACAAAATTGATGCACACGCTTTTGTGGCGCTTTTTCCTTGATAGAATTCATAGCAAATGCAGTGCCGAATAAATTGTTTCTTGTTTGCCATTTTCAAGCTGCTGCAATTTTAGGTTACACAAACAATATCGTGAAGTTGGTTGTTATTTTTATGTTACCATATAAACACTACAAAATCGGAAAAAAGCGGGAGAATATTTAAATTTTTAATTACTTTTTTATGTTCTACAAAAAACGCTTTAAAACTTATTTATACCCCTAATATAATTCAATTTTGTTATTCAATTGATTGTTTGTTACCCTTTTGAATTTAATCTTTATTTTAAGTAAACTTACAATCAAAAATATCGAGTATTGAGACAATTGTAATATTATCTGATATCACACACACACACACACACACACACACACGCGCGCGCGCGCGCGTATAAAATAAAGATATTGGATATCTTATTATGACATCGAGGGAACAACGGAGTCACTCTGAGCGGAAATTCTTCCGATTAGATACATACTCAATAAACATTAGGACATTCTATGCACGTCCTATGTATATACATATATGTACACAAAAATTCATAAATGATGAGGTCTGGCCAAGTTACAAAAAAGACACTCCAATATGTTTATATTATGATAATTATCTAAATTTTTAACATATCACCAACATGAAAAGTAACTGATATATTATTCAAGGTGCAAATTTAAAATAATGAGTAATAATGTAATAATTAGAATGATTAATTGACATCATGTAATTAATTGACATTATGTAAGTTAACATGTTGTTCGGTGTGGCAGCGCCAAGTTTTTTTGTATTTTTTAATAAATATTTTGTTATTTTAATTAAATTTTTTCAATCAAATTTTGATCAGTTTTATTGATACATTTTATGAATATTTATGTATGTTTTTTTTAATTTGCACCTTGAATAACATATCAGTTACTTTTCATGTTGGTGATATATTAAAAATTTAGATAATTATTAAAATATAAACATATTGGAGTATCTTTTTTGGAACTTGGCCAGACCTTATCATTTATGAATTTTTGTGCTTAGATTTATCTAGACAAAGGTTGGCAATGGAAGTGATGGAAACGGCTTTCAAATAGGATCACGACTAGCAATTATAATAATCCTGATTTTGTATCTAATAATCTCTGATATGAGAATGAGAACATTGGCATGTAATTTGACGTATTATCGATTTTATATTTAT